GGGGATTTGGAGCCCAAAAAGCCAGACATGTCCGGGAAAATCCGGACGTGTGGTAACCCTATCTACCAGCTTAGATCTGGTCTGCTGCCACCACTCCCAAAATGTTAATTCCCTTCCCTGGGAAGCCTTGAGAAACCTTTCACCAATTCCCTGGTGAATACAGATCCAAACCCCTTGGATCTTAAAACAAGGAGAAATTAACCATTCCCCTCCTTCCTCCCACCAACTCCTGGTGAATACAGATCCAACCCCCTTGGATCTAAAACAAGAAAAATCAATCAGGTTCTTAAAAAGAAGGCTTTTAATTAAAGAAAAAAGTAAAAATCATCTCTGTAAAATCAGGATGGAAAATAATTTTACAGGGTAATCCAACTTAAAGAGCCCAGAGGAACCCCCTCTAGCCTTAGGTTCAAAGTTACAGCAAACAGAGGTAAACACCCTAGTAAAAGGTACATTTACAAGTTGAGAAAACAAAGATAAAACTACCACGCCTTGCCTGGCTGTACTTACAAGTTTGAAATATGACAGGTTTCAGAGTAACAGCCGTGTTAGTCTGTATCCGCAAAAAGAAGAACAGGAGTACTTGTGGCACCAGTCTCTAAGGTGCCACAAGTACTCCTGTTCTTCTTTTTGAAATAGGAGAGACTTGTTGGGGTCCACTAGGCATAGCTACCAGGTAACTCGGGAGAGTGGAAGGCCACAAGTGCCGATGAAGCTCTTTTGCTCTGGGCCTGTCTGAACCCCCAAACTCCATCTTGGGAACTCTCACCTACTTCTCTGCTCACTGTTTACATGCTCTGAAGTAGGCTGAAGCAGAAATGTATTGGTCAGCGTTTTTAGCAGATGGCTGCAGGTTCACTCACACTAGCAGAAATAATAGAGATAAGAAGCGGGGTAGTTAGTCTGCAGATGTCTAACTCAAGGTCGCAAAGACTGAGAAAGTTTTCTCACAAGCTTATGTAGAGCTTATTGTACCAATTGTCTGGAAGGGAGGGGGAAGGGGGAACAGCCAGACAAAGAGATGTACGCAAACAGTTTGGAGTATAAAAGGTAAAAGTTGTTTGTATTTGCTGCACTGGATTTGAGACATGCTGGTCTCCTAGTGCCATTTCAGAGCTCGGAAATAAACTTGGCTTTCTCCCCTCGGTGTCTTTATTGGTGCCAAGCACACCGGGCGACGGACCATTGTTGTCCCCTCCAGCCCTTTAGGGCGGGCCACAGACTTGTTCAGAAAGATTTGGAGAGCCTGGATTGATGTCTGGTCCCTCTTAGTCCCAAGAGCGAACAACTTCCCAAGCAAAGAGCACAAACAAAAGCCTTCCCCTCACCAAGATTTGAAAGTATCTTGTCCCCTTATTGGTCCTTTGGGTCAGGTGTCAGCCAGGTTACCTGAGCTTCTTAACCCTTTACAGGTAACAGGATTTTGGAGTCTCTGGCCAGGAGGGATTATAGTATGGTACACAGGAGGGCTGTTACCCTTCCCTTTATAGTTATGACAGAGACTGACACTGTTCTCTTTGGCCCCCCCATGCCCTCTCTCAGGGGAGCCATTCACATACTCCCTGACCTCCAAATACCTGATACCCCATAAAGTATCCCCACTGAGGGACCCCTCCCCCACACAGGAGGCCTGTAAACCTCCCCCTCAGTGACCCCCCCAAAAAAATGCCTCCTCACATCTTAACTGACCAACAAGTGTCTCCCTCTCCCCCCCCAGCAATGCTCCCCTCCCTCGCCCCAGGCCTAGAAAATGGGGTGGGTCTGGAACTCCCAGAAGGCACAAGGGATTGGCTCTGAGCACCAGCCAATGGCAAGGCCTGCTCCTCAGGTCCCGGCTTCAGTGACCAGAGGGTGTCTCCTGATTGGCTCCCTTGGGTCCCGCCCCATAAGGGATTAAGGTATAAAGGGGACCCCTAGGTGAGGGGCTTCTGGTTTTGGTGTCTGTCCTGGGAGCTCATTTATTTGGGTCTGTCCAAAGGAAGCCAGCACTCCTGGGTTCTTTCCTGGCTCTGGGAGGGGAGTGGGGTCTAGTGGGTTAGAGCAGGGGAGGGGCTGAGAGCCAGGACTCCTGGGTTCTTTCCTGGCTCTGGGAGGGGAGTGGGGTCTAGTGGGTTAGAGCAGGGGAGGGGCTGGGAGCCAGGACTCCTGGGTTCTGTCTCTGGCTCACTAGCTCTCCCCTCACAGGTGGGCTGCACCCAGGGCTGCCTGAGGTCCCGGCTGGGCACCATGGAGCCCTGGCTCGAGGTGGTGGTGGTGGCTGCCGGTTCCCCGGAGCTGGGCTCGGACAGGGACACGTTGGCCAGGGAGGGGTACTCCCCTGCTAGGAAGAGACCTCGCCGCTCCCCACCCCAGACAGAGACCCCCATGGAGTGGGAGTCCCTGGAGCCAGCTGGTATGGTGGGGGGGAGCACCCCTTTGCCCTGCTTGGGTTGGGAGGGTGGTGTGGGAGAAGGGTCTGTGTGTGGGGGGGGTGATGGGGCAAGAAGGAGTAGGGGAGGGGGTGAGGAGGGTTTAGGGTAGCATTGGGGGGTTGGGATGGAGTGGGCTGGGGGCAAAGAGGGGGAGTGGAGGGTTTTTGTAGGCCTGGGGGGAGCGTTAGGGGTTGGGGGAGCTATGGGGCCTGGTGCATCCGTGGCTTTGATCTCTGTTTCTGTCCCAGGTGTCACAGACCCTCTGCCCGTCCATCTGTCTGTCCTGGGGTGGCTGCACTGCCCCTCCCCCCAGGACCTGTTCTCTGTCATTCCCATGGGGTTGGGGTTCATGGGGAATGCATGGGCAGGATCCCCAGCCCTCTATCCCCTGCCCCCAGGCTCTTCCCATCTGCCCCCCAGTTGGTTTTGTGCCCCAATGGGGGTTTTATTCTCTCCCCACTTCAGGTCGGGATCCCCTCCCATGGGGTACTCCCAGCTGGCCGTGCTCCACTTCTGGGTCCCCATGCTCCGTTTCCCCCGGCCACTGGGCCACCGACCACTGGGACCCAGCTCACGAGTGGCCCAAGGAACCGGTTGGGCCAAGAAGTGAGTAGGTGGGGGGAGGGGGCAGGACTCCTGGGTTCTCTCCCCAGCTATGGGAGGGGAGTGGGGTCTAGTGGTGAGAGCAGCGGGGGCTGGGAGCCAGGACTCCTGGGTTCTCTCCCCAGCTCTGGGAGGGGAGTGACTTTGTTTTTCATTCTGAGGAGCGCTGAGATTTGGCAGGCTTGGTGGACCAGCTCAGGTGCTGGGTGGGTTCACACCAGGTATATCTCAGCCTTGATCTCCCCCCAAGTGTCTCTGATCCACTCTGTGGCCCTGTTGCTGCTTTATCTCTGCTCCGTGTCAGTGAGTTTTATTTTGCTGTCGATTCTCTTCCTTCACCGCCCCCATTGTAGAGTTGGCAGATGAGTCCGCACCAGCCTCAGGAGGGCCCCCCAGGCCAGCCCCACACAGCAGCCAGTCACAGCCAGGCGCGCGCTCGGATCCCGGGTCCTCTGCCTCCTGCCCTGGAATAGGCGATCTGGCACGTCAGCAGCCGAAGAAGCCCACTCGGTCGAAGAGTTGGAAATCCATGGGAAACAGAGGTGGTTAAAGCGGAGAGATAGGAGCCAGGACTCCTGGGTTCTATCCCCAGGTCAGGGAGGAGAGTGGGGTAGAGCGGGGGGCTGGGAGCCAGGACTTTGGTTCCATTCCTGGTGCTGGGAGGGGAGTTGGGTCTAGTGGTTAGAGCAGGCGGGTACTGGGAGCCAGGACTCCTGGGTTCTCTCCCTGGCTCTGGGAGGGGAGGAGGGTCTAGTGGTTAGAGCAGAGGGGGCTGGGAGCCAGGACTCCTGGTTTCTATCCCTGGCTCTGGGACGGGAGGGGGGTCTAGTGGTTAGAGCAGGACTCGTAGGTTCTAGGGTTTGAGCTGGCTGCAATCTCCTAACCCCAAGCTCTGTGCTCTCTCTGTCCACCCCAGGCCTTGCGGCCATTGTCCCCCTGGTGCAGGGCATCCTGTCGGCCTTCGCCTCGGGCCTGAGGCTGGCGAAGCTGCTGGAGCTCATGAGGAACCAGCACGGGGTCGCCGTGGAGACGCTGTGCCAGGCTGCGAGCACTGCGGACGTCCTGGGGCTGCTGGCCCAGGTGCCTGGGCTGCGGGTGCGCACCCCCGAGAGAGGCCCCCAGTGCCTTATCCAGCTCGAGAGAGGTAGGGGCTGGTGGGCGTGTGAATTTCCCCCTCCCGTCAGACCTGCAGCCCGCCCTGCCTCCCCCAAACATGGCAGCGATCCCAATATTACCGCCCCTCCTGCTGGGAAGTGTTCCCCTGGCCAGGAGCTGCCTGCCTCATAGCCGGCGCTGCGCTCTCATGGCCCAGCAGAGGGCGCTCCACCTCTACACATGGGCAGGTGTGTGTCTTATACAGCGTGCTCAGAACTGCCTGCCTGAGTCTGCCCACAGCCAGAGCTCGTTGTTGTGGGAGGGGGGAGCTGCTCCGAGTTTAACCGACGCTGAGCTGCTTACACTCGGCTCCTCCTCCCTCTTGGAGCGATGGGCTCAGGCTCCCGGCAAACTCAGGCAGGCGTCGGCTGCGCCTCTTTCCTGGTTTTGAGCAGTTCGTCGTGGCCCGAACGTGAGACACTTCATTTTTCATTTCGAGTTGTCCTGAGATTTTGCACACTGAGGATGACATTTGGCGGGCAGGCGGGGGCAGTGGGTGGGTGCACACCGGCTGTATCTCAGCCTTGATCTCCTCCCCCGGGGGGTCTCTGACTGACCCACCGTGCGGCCCTGTTGCTGCTTTATCTCTGGTCAGCGTCAGGGTATTTTTTTTTTTTGCTGTAGGTTGTTACTTTTCTCCCCTTTCTAGCATTGGCAGATGAATCCGCACCAGCCCCAGGGGGCCCACCCAGTCCAGCCCCATGCAGCAGCCAGTCACAGCCAGTCCTGTGCTCGGATCCCAGGTCCTCTGCTTCCTACCACCCCGGAGGAGGGGACCTGGCGCGCCAGCGGCCGAAGAAGCCTGCTCGGTCAAAGAGACGGAAATCCATGGGAGACAGAGGTGGTTAAAGTGCAGAGTTGGGAGCCAGGACTCCTGGGTACAATCCCTGGCACCAGGAGAGGAGTGGGGCCCAGTGGTTAGAGCAGAGGAAGAGGGGGCTGGGAGCCAGGACTCCTGGCTTCTATCCCTGACTCTGGGAGGGGAGTGGGGTCTAGTGGTTAGAGCAGGGGGCCTGGGAGCCAGGACTCCTGGGTTCTAGCCCTGGCACTGGGAGGGGAGTGGGGCCTAGTGGTTAAAGCATGGGGAAGAGGGGCTGGGAGCCAGGACTCCTGGGTTCTTTCCTTGGCTCTGGGAGGGGAGTGGGGTCTAGTGGTTAGAGCAGGACTCCTAGGTTCTAGGGTTTGAGCTGGCTGCAATCTCGTAGGTCCCATGTGCCTCTGCTTCTGATCGCTTGGTGTCTCTCCCCAGGTGTGGCTGCCACCCTCGCCCCCTTTCTGGGGCATGTCCTGCACCCCTTCCCCCTGGGCCTGGGGCTGCCCAAGCTGCTGAAGGCCATGCGGCGGGACCATGACCTGGACCTGGTGGCGCTGAGCCGGGAAGCAGGGTATGAAGACGTCCTGGGGCTGCTGGGGCAGGTGCCCGGGATCTGGCTACACAAGTCATCGAGAGGCAGCCCATACACCGTGCACCTCCACGCAGGTGGGTGGGGGCAGGAGATTTTTGCCCCTCTCCCTTCTACACCAAGTCTGTGGCCCTCTGGATCCACCCACCCGCTGTCGGCCCCTCCAGTTCAGGCTCCCAGCAAACTCAGGCAGGCATCGGCTGTGCCTGTTTCATGTTTTTGAGCAGTTTGTTGCGGCCCAAATGGTGAGACATGTCATTTTTCGTTTGGAGGAGTGCTGAGATTCTGCACGCTGAGGAGGACGTTTGGCGGGCAGGCGGGGGCAGTGGGTGGGTGCACACGGGCTGTATCTCGCCTTGATCTTCCCCAGGGGGTGTCTGACCCATCCTGTGGCCCTGTTGCTGCTTTATCTCTGGTCAGTGTCAGAGATTTCGATTTTGGCTGTAAATTTTGCTACTTTTCTCCCCTTTCTAGTGTTGGCAGATGAATCCGCACCAGCCCCAGGGAGCCCCCCCAGTCCAGCCCCATGCAACAGCCAGTCACAGCCAGCCCCGCGCTCGGATCCCGGGTCCTCTGCCTCCTGCCGCCCTGGAGGAGGGGACCTGGCGCGCCAGCAGCCGAAGAAGCCTGCTCGGTCGAAGAAACGGAAATCCATGGGAGACAGAGGTGGTTCAAGTGCAGAGTTGGGAGCCAGGGCTCCTGGGTTCTAGCCCTGGTGCTGGGAGGGGAGTGGGGTCCAGTGGTTAGAGCAGGGGAAGAGTGGCTGGGAGCCAGGACACCTGGGTTCTAGCCCTGGTGCTGGGAGGGGAGTGGGGGCTTGTGGTTAGAGCAGGGGGGGTGGGAGCCAGGACTCCTGGGTTCTAGCCCTCCCACGGGAAGGGGAGTGGGGTCTAGTGGTTAGACCAGGACTCCTGGTTCTAGGGTTTGAGCTGGCTGCAATCTCCAGGGTTGCATGTGTCTCTGCTTCTGATCTCTTGGTGTGTCTGTCCCCAGGTGTGGCTGCCACCCTCGCCCCCTTTCTGGGGAATACCCTGCGCCCCTTCCCCCTGGGCCTGGGGCTGCCCAAGCTGCTGGAGGCCGTGCGGCGGGACCACGACCTGGACCTGGTGGCGCTGAGCCGGGAAGCAGGGTATGAAGACGTGCTGGGGCTGCTGGGGCAGGTGCCCGGGATCTGGCTACAGAAGTCATCGAGAGGCAGCCCATTCACCGTGCACCTCCACGCAGGTGGGTGGGGGCAGGAGATTTTTGCCCCTCTCCCTTCTACACAAAGTCTGTGGCCCTCTAGATCCACCCACCCGCTGTCGGCCCCTCCAGTTCAGGCTCCCAGCAAACTCAGGCAGGTGTCGGCTGCGCCCGTCTCGTGTTTCCGAGGAGTTTGTCACGGCGTGTGTTACGCAGGAGGTCAGACCAGATGATCACCATGGGCCCATCTGGCCTGGCAACCTGGTTCCTCCTTCCCTGGAGGTGGGGTGTGAAGCCGGCTGGGTTTTCATCAAAAGGGATTTTGATCCCCCGCTCCCTGAAAACAAAAACGCTTAGGAAAACGCATGTGTCTGACTTGGATGAAATTTCATTTGGGGGGGGGACTGTGGGCTTTGGGAGGAGAATCTTTTGATTTTTTTTCCCCTTTCTCCCCCCCCCCCCAAAAAAAAATTCATTTTTGCTATCAGCTTTTTTTATGAGAGGTCAAACGAGGCACTCAACGGTTGCCATTTTTCCTCCAAATGTTTTTCCTCCAAAGACCAGGGCCTGGTCGATCAAAACACTTGGTTATGATAAAAATCCAAACGCAGGAGGGCCAAGTTTTGACTCCCTCTTTTTTCAAAAAATAAAAAACCCTTTTGTGTATTTAAAAAACTATAGTTTTGGAGGAAATTGTGAAAAATGTTTCAGAACAGCTGAAACTTCAAAGCCATGGCATTTCCTGTAATATGGAAAACCCACCTCCTCTGGCTCTAGTTGTGTGTTCGATCCCTGCTCATGCCCCAAGGGGGTGGGGGGATGTCCAGGGCTTATGAAAGTGGGGACAGTTGTACCAGGGCTTTGGGCCCCCCACAACTTGCCTGTAATTGGAGTGAAATGGGTGGGGGTGGAGCCTCAGCAAATGTGCCCCTACACTTCTCTCAACAAGCCCTGCGCAAGACCCAAACAGCTCTGAAACGTGTGTCTGCTGCCGGCATCAGTAATAGGTTGTTACCCTGTGGAAAGTAGACATTCGCTCTGGTGCCTCCTGTTTTATGCTCTCAGAGTTGCTCCAGTCAAGAGAACAGGGTGGCATCAACCCCTTTGGGGGGGTGGAGGCCCCAGGGGTCCAGAGAGAGTGGACCCCCAAGGAGGGCTGTCGCACTGAGGCACCCCCACACACAGACCACACAGGGCCAAGAGTGGGCATGACCTGTGAGTCTGATACTTCTAAGGTGGCAAGAGCCCGGAAGCGCTTAGTGGGCAGAAGGAGGATGTTGGAGGTGCCTGTGGTCCCATTTTTGGGGTCCCCCTGAGCCCACCTCCCCGTTTTTCTTCTCTGCAGCCCCGTGGACCCCAACTCCTGCTGACCTTCCTGTGGGGGGAGTGCTGCCCCCAAGCTGGGAGTGCGGGAGGGAGCCGAGAGGCCGGACAGAGCAAGTCTGATGCAAAGGCGAGGGTCCCTGAGCTCCCACCCTGTCTCTCTCCTCGTGGGGCCAGGGCCACTTGGTGTGGGGGGAGGGGCCTAGGGGATACCACTGCAGGGGGGCTCCTGCCACCTCCCATTGGCAGCCCTGCGGTTTCTCTGAGTGGGGGGGGGGGGGGGGGTAAGAGAATGTGAAGGCATCTTTCCCTTCTGCCCCATAGAGGCCCAGAGCAGTGGGGCTGGGAGAGAAGGCCCCACCCCATAGCAAGCCCCCCAGGGGGGAGCAGTTGGCTCAAGCTCCCTCAGACCCCAGCAAGGGGTCAGTCCCGTTTCTCCCTGTCCCACCCCTCAATCTTTCTCCCAAGGCTCAGAGGCCAGGAGGTGCCTTGTTAATTGACAGTGGAGACCCAACAATGGTCTTGTGACTCCGGGAGCTGGGCCTCTAGGCCCTGATGGGGCCCTTGCTCCAGGGTCCCAAACCAGCAGGTGGAGGGTAAATGCCGCAAGGAAACAAAACTCGCTCTTTCAACGGGAAAAGACAATTTGTTCTGGTGTTTTGTACATAATTATCATCCCTCATCAGCATGCAACCTGGCAATAGAACCCAGGTTTCCAAACCACCCCCCCTGCTCTAACCACTGGACCCCCCATCTCTGAGCAGGGGGCTAGAACCCAGGAGTCCTGGCTGCTAGCCCATTCCTGCTCTAACCCCTAGACCCTATTAAAACCCAGTTCTTGTCCCAGTTGCTTGGGCTCCGGCTCCTTCACAGCGCTGCTCCCCAGCCCTCTGGTGTGGCACTGGAATCCCAGTTCATCCCAGTATAGCCACCAGCCCTGCCTGGAAATGCTCCAGGGGCTTCCCCTAGCCCCCTCTCCCCAAACCAGTCCCATTGTCCCAGCTGCTCCCAGTAACGCTCCAGCACCCCCGTAGCTGCCCGGTTCCAGTCCAGTTCACCCCTGAGGTGTGGGAGGAAATATGCGCTCCCAGCTCATGCCAGTTTAATCAGCCCCCCCACACCCACACATTAGCTCCAGCAGTGCCATGGGGGGGGGGGCATTCCTGTTGCCTGCCAGCCCTGGGCCCCGCGTGGTGCAGAGCTGCCCAAAATCATCCTCCACCTCCCAGTTTCGTGTCCCAGTATAATCCGTACTCGCCCACTCGCAGGGCTGCAAAGCACCGAGCCCTGGCCTCCACCACGCCCCCCAGTTCCTCCCCGTAACACCAGTACCGTGGCTCCCAGGGCTGGGTTGATTCCAATGACTTTCCAACCCCAGTTAAACCCCGGGCTGAAAACAAGGCCCGGAGCATTCAGGGCGTTCCCGTATAGCCCATACGCCGGCTCTGCTTCCTCCCAGTAACACCAATATAACTCCCTCCTGCTCACACGCTGGGTCCGGTGTAACCTACTGGCCTGCCCCAGTTGGGAGCAGCCTGGGGAGAGTGGGGGGGGGGGGGGGGTGTCTCATTTCCCCCCCCTCGGCCGGCTGATACTGGTAGGTGCCCGTTCAATAGCGACGCTCCCTGCTGTAGCCTTGGGGGGCCCCCCA